TGACTTATTGCACTGGGCAAATCTGCTGCAAAAGACCTCTTTAAAGTATTAAAAAAGCAAAGATGTCACTTTGAGGACTAAGATGCACCTGACCCAAGCCATGATATTTTCAATCGCCTCATATGCATGTGAAAGCTGGACGATGAATAAGGAAGACCAAAGAAAAACTGATGCCTTTGAATTATGGTGTTGGCAAAGAATATTGAATATACCATGGAGTGCCAGAAAAATGAATAAGTCTGTCTTGGAAGAAATACAGTAAGAGTGCTCCTTGGAAGTGAGGATGGTGAGACTTCGTCTTACTTTGGACATGTTATCAGGAGGGACCAGTCCCTAGAGAAATACATCATGCTTGGTAAAGCAGACGGTCAGCAAAAAAGAGGAAGACCCTCAACAAGATGGACTGACACAGTGGCTGGAACAATGGGCTCAAACATAGTAATGACTGTGAGGATGGTGCAGGATCGGACAGTGTTTCATTCTGTTGTAGACTGGGTCACTATGAGTTGAAACCGACTCAATGGCACCTAACAACAATAACATGATGTTAATGAGGCAGGATTAGAGGCAGTTATGTTAATGAGACAGGACACAATCTACAGGATTAGGTTGTATCTTGAGTCAATCTCTTTTGAGATATAAAAGAGAGAAGAGAGGAGAAAGATCTCATTACCACCAATCAAGAAGAGCCAGGAGCAGAGCTCGTCCTTTGGACCTGGGGTCCCTGCACTGAGAAGCTCCTAGACCAGGGGAAGACTGATGACAAGAATCTTCCCCCAGATCTCACAAAGAGAGAAAGCCTTCCCCTGGAGATGGTGCCCTGAATTTGGACTTCTAGCCTCTTACACTGTGAGAGAATAAATTTATAAATTTCTGTTTGTTAAAGTCATCCACTTGTGGTATTTCTGTTATAGCAGCACTAGATAACTAAGACATAGGTTCATAAAACTTTTAGCAAGTTGAAATCATACACAGTATGTTTTCTAACTATAATGAGATCAAACTAAAAATCAGTAACAGAAAAATTTCCAAATCCTTGAAAATTAAACAACACATTTCTAAATAATCCATGGGTCAAAGAGGAAGTTTCAAGGGAAATTAAAAAGTACATCAAACTGACCCTCATTTATTGCTGGTAGGAATGTAAAATGGTGCAGCCACTGCGGACAACAGTTTGTTGGTTTCCCAAAAAGTTGAAGACAGAACTACCATATGACCCAGCAATCCCAATCCTAGGTATATAACCAAAAGAAATGAAGGCAGGAACACAAACAGAAACCTGTACACCAATGTTCACTGCAGCACTTTTCAAAATAGCCAAAACATGGAAACTGAAATGTTCATCAAGAGATGAATGGATAAACAAAATGTGGTACATACATATAATGGAATATTATGCAGCTGTAAAGACAAAAATCCTTACAACTGGACCAATAAACAACATCATAATAAACCGAGAAAAGACTGAAGTTGACAAGGATTTCATTTTACTTGGATCCACAATCAACACCCAGTGAAAAAGCAGTCAAGAAATCAAAAGACACGTTGCATTGGTCAAATCTGCTGCAAAAGACCTCTTTAAAGTGTTAAAAAGCAAAGATATCACCTTGAAGACTAAGATGCGCCTGACCCAAACTATGGTGTTTTCAATCACCTCGTATTCATGCGAAAGCTGGACAATGAGTAAGGAAGACCAAAGAAAAATTGACGCCTTTGAATCGTGGTGTTGGCGAAGAATATTGAACATAACATGGACTGCTAAAAGAACGAACAAATCTGTCTTGGAAGAAGTACAACCAGAATGCTCCTTAGAAGCAAGGATGGCGAGACTATGTCTCACATACTTTGAACAGGTTATCATGAGGGACTAGTTCCTGGAGAAGAACATCATGCTTGGTAAAGTAAAGGGTCAGCAAAAAAGAGGAAGACCCTCAACGAGATGGACTGACACAGTGGCTGCAACAATGGGCTCAAGCATAGCAATGATTGTGAGGATGGCGCAGGACTGGGCAGTGTTGCATTCTGTTGTACAGAGGGTCGCTACGAGTCGGAACCGACTCAATGGCATCTAACAACAAACAACAACAATAAAGAGAAATGAATTTCTGATGCATGCCACAGTATGGATGAACCCTGAAAATGTTGTGCTGAGTGAAATCAATCAGTCACAAAAACTCAAATACTGCATGATCTCACCTATACAAAAGACACAAATACAGAGAAACCAAAGATTTTTAGTGAAAAACGGGTGAGAGGGAGGAAGAAAGGGGGAGTTTTTACTGCGGGGACACAGAGTTTATGTTAATGGTGGTGGAATATTTTGTGAAGAGATGGCGATGATGGTGGTATGGCATGAGAAGTGTGGTCAACATCATTGAATTGTGGGTGTAGAGTTTGTTGTGTTGGTGGGTAGTTTAGTGTATATGTTTTCACCACAATATAGAGGGAAAAAAGTACAATAAACTGAATGAAAATAAAAATATCAAAATCTGTGAGATGCAGTTAAAGCAGTGTTGAGAGGAAAATTTATAGCACTAAATGCTTACGTTAGAAAAGAAGAAAGGTCTTTTAATCAATAATCTAAGCTCCCACCTCAGGAAAATATAAAGAAAAAAAGAAACCCAAAGCAAGCAGAAGGAAGGAAGTACCACATTTTTATTCAAATGATGCAAGCCTTCTACATTTGTTTGCCAATCGTGCCCTCCCCCAACATGAGGTATTTTTGTAAGCACACTATGCTAATTTTTTACACCAATATGTAAAAAAAAATTGGCATAGCAGCACTTATGAAAATACCGCACCTGGAGGGTGAGGTTGGCAAACAAATGAAGAAGGCATGTGTTATTTGGGTAAAAATAAGGCAATAAATTTAAGAGGAGAAATCAATGAAACTGAAAACATAAAAACAGAGAAAATCAATGAAATCAAAGCTGGTCCTTTGAAAAGACCAATAAAACTGGTAAACCTCTAGCAAGATTGACAAAAATAAAAAAAGAGAAGACGTACCAATATCAGGAATGAAATGGGATATAAGTACAGATCCTGCAGCCATTAATAGTAAGTGAATACTATAAACAATCTTATGCACATAAATTCAACAACTTAGATAAAACAGTCCAATTCCTCAAAAGACACAAAATACCACAATTCATCCTCTATTAAAATAGATTCATCAGAATAGGCCTATAACTATTAAAGAAATTGGAAATCAACACCATAATCAAAAAGCTTCTAAAAGGAAATTTCTAGGACAAGATGGCTTGACTGGAAAATTCTACCAAACATTAATTAGCATCAATTTGACACATTCAGGAAAATATAAGGGAATACTCTCCCCCAACTCATTCTATGAAGCCTGCATTACCTTAACACCAAAAGGAGACAAACCCATTGCTGTCAAGTCGATTCCGACTCATAGCGACCCTATAGGACAGAGCAGAACTGCCCCATAGTGTTTCCAAGAAGAGCCTGGTGGATTTGAACTGCCAACCTTTTGGTTAGCAGCCGAACTCTTAACCATTACGCCACCAAGGTTTCCAAAAAAAAAAAAAAGGCACACAAAGACAGAACAAAACAAAATTATAGATCAATATCTCTCATGAACTTAGATGCAAAATTCCTCAAAAAAGTACTAGCTACTCAAACCCAGCAATATAAAGAATTATACACCACAACCAGGTGTGGTTTACTCCAGTAATGCTAGGCTGGTTCAATATCAATCAATGTAACCCACCATATTAAGAGGCTAACGAAGAAAAATCACATGGTCAAATAAATTTGTAAAGAAAAACTGACAAAAGTCAACACCCATTCATAATAAAAACACACAACAATAAAGAACAGAGGGGAAATGCCTAAACTTAATAGAGAACATCTGTAAAAAAAAACTTACAGCTAACATTATACTTAATGGTGAGAGGCTGAAGGCTTTTCCCCTAAAAGCAAACACGTCCGCACAAGCATAGCCGCTCTCTCTACTCTCATTCAATATATAACTGGAAGTTCTAGCCAGCAGAATAAAGCAAGAAAAAGAAGGAAAATAAAAGGTATAGATTGGAAAGAAAAAATAAAACTGCCTCTACTTGCAGATGACATGATTCTTGGCACAGAAAACCCAAGGAATCTTAAAACAAAAAAAAAAAAGCTATAGACTAGTTAAGTGAGTTCAGCAAGATCCCAGGATTCAAGAGAAACACACAAAACTCAATCGTATTCCCATATATAAACAATAAACACGTGGAAACTGAAATTTAAAAGAGAATATAATTTATAACCACTCCAAAATAATTAAATATCTAGGTATAAACTTTACAAAACATGTACAGAACTTGTATGCTGAAAATTACAAAACGCTGTGAAAGAATTCAAAGAAGATATAAATAAATGGAGAGCATACTGTATTTACAGACTGGAAGGCTTAACATATTAAAGACGTTAAATCTTCCCAAATTGATATACAGGTTTAACACAAATTCTATCAAAATCCCAACAAGATGTTTTGTAGATAGAGACAAGACTATTCTAAAATTTACGTGGAAAGGCAAAGGACCTAGAAGAGCTAAAACAATTTTGAAAAATAATAAAGCGGGAGGAATCACTGTACCTAATTTCAAGATTTATTATATAGCTACAGTAATTAAGACACTGTGGTATTGGCACAATGGAAGAGAACAGAGAACCCAGAAACAGCCCCACACAATATGGCCAACTGATTTTTTATAAAGGTGCAAAACAATTCAGTGGAGGAAGGATAGCGTTTTCAACGAACGGTGCTTGAGCAATTGGACATCCACGGGGAGATAAATGAACCTCGATCTAAGTCTTAGACAAATATTAACTTAAAATGGACCACGTACAGTAGCAAAGAGATATAGACAAATCACCATCACAGTGAAGAATGTAGTCTCCTCTCTAATAAAAAAAGCAGACAAAAAGAAAAAAGTACAAATTTTGTACGACACAATTAACAATTCAGTAATTAAATATTATTTTCAACTTACATATAGAACATTTATAAAAATTCACCACAGATTAGGCCATAAGTCTCCTCATATTTCAAGAAATGAGCTTCACGCAGACATTCTTCTGACCATAGAAAACTAAGGTTAGAAATCCATTAAAAAGATAAACTTCTGGAAATTGAAAACGCACTTATGAATAACTCACGGGTAAAAGAAAAATTATTAACTCTTAGAAAACACTTAGAACATAACGCATCAAACCTTGTGGGTCTTAGAGCGAACTTCAGGACCTTCATGTTTATATTAGAGAAAAAAGCCTGAAAATGAGCGAATCGTCCAACTAAAGTTAGAAAGACGATTCCATCACTGACCACACCGAATACCCCAACACTCACACACCCCAGCCCCCCATCACCTCAACATCCCTCCGGCAGCGGGCCCTTGAAATCCTCCTGACAATAACTATCAAACCGCTGCTGGGAGCCACAACCGCTTCCGGTCGCCACCCCTAGCACCGCCCCTTCACGGGTTTTGGGGATTTGCACGGGGCTGGTAGGTAGGGGATTACTGGTTACGTGCATGCGCAAAATCACCTTCGAAGCCGCTGTCAGCGAACTCAGCAAGAAGCAGTTAAGGAGTCGCGCTTTGCCCTTCGGCAGCCTTGTCAGGTAGGTAACATGGCCGCGCCCGAGGAGAGCTTCTCCATGGGGTACGCCATGTTGAAGAAATAGCCATTCCGTACTGTAAATGAGGACGCCTCTAAATTCACAGAGCAGAGGAGTGCAGTTGTACCACAGGTGGCAGGCAGCAGGGGTGGGGACGTTTTTCTGCGCGGGCTTGCAGGAGGAGGAGTCTTTGGATCTGGTCTCTATGCATCTACGTAATGTTTAGAGAAGCTTAGGTGCCTCTTGGAACAAACGGATAGGCGCCAGAGACTGTTATCTCCAGGCAGATACCGCAGGGTGAGAAGAAGAAGGAAGTCAGGCTGGTTACAGGCCTCTCCCGGAACATACCATAAAGGGAGAGGGGAGGAAATCAGAGTTCCACAAGCCCTCCTAGAATATACCACCTGGGAAAAAAGGAAAGAAGTCAGTATTAGATTCCCCTCTCTGCTGTGCTTGAGGGCGTTGGCTGTGGGGTTTGAATGCTCCCATAATCTACATTTATCTCCCACCCCAGCTACTCCAACTAAAATGAAAGTATGTACCAATAATAGTTTTTGATGTGTTCTCAGTCTAATGCAATATGTCAATAAAAATATCTTTAGGAAACTTTATTTTTATTTCTTCATAAAATAAAGGCTAAGTAGTGATGATACTCTTACTTTGCAAATGTAGTTTACGACAAGACTCTGACTCTGTCCTTCAACCAGTTTGCTGCCCCTTATTACCTCAAATATGGAAATTCTGGAGATGCCACTGCCCTTCTGGGAGATGTCACTGGGACAGAGGGGAAAGAAGTTGTGCTGCCGTTCATCTGAGAATGCCTACTTACCCTTCAAAACCAAATTCATATATCTCCTCCTCCAGGAAGCCCGCCTGACAGAAGGCCTTTCTAACTCCACAGATGAGGAAAGCATTTTGAGGGGACCCAGCATAGGCTTAGGTGTGAACTTACTGTGTGTTCTCAGTCCAGTCACATCCCCTCTGGGCCTCATTTAACAATCTAGAATGTAAGAGGTGTCCTCGTCCAATAAACCTAAAACCATCAGGGACTAATTTGTAGTTTGACAGAGTCAGGTTTATTGACCCATTGCAATGAGGGAGACCACACACCAGAGGAACCATAGGGTGTCTCACTAAACAAAGGAAAAGATGGAGTTATTATGGGGTTCTGAGGAAGGATGGAGATCAGGAGAAATTTAAATGAAGCAGTGATTTGACAAGCTCAAAGCAAAGCAGGGCTATGTGTAAAGGGATAAGCATGAGGCCTGGACTGCAAAATGAGCCCAGAATCCTCTTTCCTTGAAAACAGAAAGTTATGATAGATGTAGAATATTGTGTCCAGATACCCCTTATCTGAAGCTCTGTACCTGAGCTGGAAATCGAGGCTGCTTCTCAGTGTGACTTAGATTCTCCAGGCAAGAGTGGGTTGTTTCATTCTTACTAATATAATTTCAAAAAGCAAAGTTTCTGATAGTCTATGATTTTAGAGAACAAAGTTTCTCAATGATAAGAAAGCAGTTGTCAATCAAAGTACAGGTTCTTTATGGCATTTATAGCTGCAGCACGTTTTTGGGAGAAATAATGTTTCTTGATAACTTTGCAGATGGCTTTATCTGTGTCTGTTCTCCCAGCCTGAAGCTCTAGCGATGCAGTGGTTAAGAGCTATGGCTGCTAACTAAAAAGTCGGCAGTTGGAATCCACCAGCTGCTCCTTGGAAACCCTATGGGGCAGTTCTACTCTGTCCTATAGGGTGGCTATGAGTTGGAATTGACTCAGTGGCAACAGATTTGGTTTTGGTTTGGTCTCCCAGCCTGGTGAATGGCAGATTTTTTAAAGTCTGGGCTAATTTTTACTTTCTTAGAGCTTTGAATCTCTGATTTTCCCAGATTCTCTTTCTACCTTTGCATCCCTGGTTAGAATGTTTGTTGAATGAATAAATGAAAGAATAAATGGAATCAGTAGAAGCATGTTGGGCATACATACACTCCTATTAGGGTGCCAGGAATTATTGTTAATGTTGTTGGGTCATAGTGGTACTAAAGTTACATTAAAAAATAGTTTCATCTGTTAGAACATTTCAAAGAAGAAAATATAGAGCTAATAAATAAATAAATAATATGAAAAGATGTTCAAAGTCATTAATCATCAGGGAAATACAAATAAAGACATGAGGAGATAACATTTTACACCCATTCAACTTGCAAAATTTTAAAAATCTGACAATACCAAGTGTTGGAGAGGATGTGGATCCACAGGATCTCTCATGTTCTGTTGAAGGAATGTAAATTAGTGCAGCCACTTTAGAAAACAGTTTGGTATTCCCTCCTACAGTTGAATATTTACATACCCCACAACCCAGCGGGTCCACTCTTAGTAATATATCCAAGAGAAACACTTACACATGAGACTTAATATATTCATGGCATCCTGTTCACGACAGCAAAACCTGAAAACAACAATGAATGTACATTAACAGGAGTCAAAATGAATGAACTGTAACAATACCTAATAGTATAGATGAATATTTTAAGAAACCTGTAATTCCCAAAAGATAATATAAAGCATGATACATTTTTATCAAACTAAAAGCTACTAATATGAAGAACATTCACTACTTAGAATTCTGTGTAATTGCAATAGAATTGTATAAAAAGGAAATCAAAGATCGATGGACTTGGGATTCAGGATGATGTTTACCTCAGTTGAGGGGAGGCAGGGCAACAAATTGGGGGACTGTATGGATAGATGTAGGTTATTGTCAAGGCCATACCTTTTCTTTTGGGTGGTAGGTGCAAAGGTGCTAATTATATTATTAAAACTAACTAAATATTTAAACTAATTAGGAAAATGGAAATGCTATTAGACAAATATATAAATGAAAAAAGAGAAAGTCTGCATAGAGAAAAGTTCTGTCCCATCCTTGAATGGGGCAAGAAAATCTTTGGCCCCAACCCAAAGATGCCACTTTGTGGTGGGATGAGCAGGGAGGCAGGAGATCTGTGACCTTCACACTTAATGTTGCCCCTGCCACAGATGCTCTAGCTCCAAGACACTCCATCACATCACTCATGTGTCTGCTCAAATGTCACCTTTGCAGAGATATTTCTTCCCTAGCCTACCCCACCACTCTCTATCTCCTTGCCATGCTTCAGTTTATTTCATAGCCTTAACTTTTATCAGAAATTATCTTATTCATTTACTGTTTGCTCACTTACTTGCTTGCACTGATACTGCAATGATGTCCTCTTCTCTCATATGTGGAGTAATCGACTACTTTATTTTAGTCTCCTTACTACACATGTAGAGGGCAGCAAAACACACACCCTGGAGTCATTTTCTTAAAAGACTAACTATTCCCTCCAAAAGACTCTGCAGACATCTCTGGATGACATGATTGTTATAAAAGTGTTCCACTGGTTAACTTGGTATAACTAGTGCTATAAATACTAAAGAGTTGGAGAATTTAAACAGTATATGTACTGGGTTGAATACTGTCCTCCCAAAATTTGTGTCCCCCCTGAACTTATAAATGTGACATTATTTGGAAATAGGGTCTTTACAGATGTAATCAAGTTAAGACAAGGTCATACTGGATTCTGGTTGTCTGTAAATCCAATATGACTGGTGTCGTTATAAGAAGAGGGAAATTTGGATACGGACAAATGGGAGAAGGCTATGTGAAGACAGAGGAAGGGTTTAGAGTTATGCATCTATAAGCCAAGGAACCCCAAGGATTGCCAGCAATCACCAAAAGCTAGAAGAGGCAAGGAAAGATTCTTCCCTAGAGACTTTGGAGAGAACATGGACCTGCCAACACCTTGATTTCAGACTTCTAGCCTCCAGAACTGTGAGAAAATACATTTCTAGTTTGTGGTACTTTGTTACTGCAGCCCCTGGAAACTAATACAGATTTTGTGGTGCCCCTACCCCAATACATAAGTAGAGTGCCTCACCAGATACTACTTCCTTTGCAGCCAGGAAGCCTGGTCCTGTTTGCCTCAGACTAACACCTCATACACTTAGGAATAGTATTCCAAGACTTATATGTACACAGAAACCCTAATTATAAATTACCAAGGCTGGGAGTTCTGACTTAGACACAAGTTCCAAAACGAGGCCACTCATGATTATTCAGGCCCTCTACCTGGGGGAATCATTAACTCATTGTTTATGCAAACAACCAGAGCTGTGTTCCCAACAGTGGGAATCATACAATTAGAAAAGACTGTAAGAAACTTATCATTAACTCTGTCAGAAGTTGTCATGGTTTGAATTGTGTCCCCCCAAAAAATGTGTGTATCAGTTTGGCTGGGCCATGATTCCCAGAATTGTGTGCTTGGCCTCCATTTTGTGATTGTAATTTTATGTTAAAGAGGATTAGGGTGGGATTGTAACATCACACTTACCCAGGTCACATCCCTGAGTCAATGTAAAGGGAGTTTCCCTGGGGTGTGGCCTGCACCACCTTTTATCTCTTGTAAGAGATAAAAAGAAAGGGAAGCAAGCAGAGAATTGGGGACCTCACACCACCAAGAAAGGAGCACGGAGAGCAGAGTGAGTCCTTTGGACCCGAGGTTCCTGCGCAGAGAAGCTCCTAGTCCAGGGGAAGACTGATGATGACTAGGATCTTCCTCCAGAGCCGACAGAGAGAGAAAGCCTTCCCCTGGAGCTGACGCCCTGAATTTGGACTTCTAGCTTACTAGACTGTGAGAAAATAAATTTCTCTTTGTGAGAGCCATCCACCTGTGGTATTTCTGTTAGAGCA